AAAAGTGTTGTACCGTGTCAGCTACGAAACGAAAAGTTGCCAAATGGTCAAAAGATAGCGCAAGGAGTACGTTACGGAATCATTATTGCAGGTGGGCAGTATTCAAAGGAGAAAATAACTGCCGTAGCAGTTAGTACGGTGCATGTATTCTTCCGGATAGCCGGTTAAGCTGAAATGGAATCGACAGAAATGCTAGCGCTGTTTATGTTATGAATAAATATCTAAAACTATTAAGCTCGCTAGTATCTTTGTCTGAGTTTGAACACAGATGAACTTAGTTTAATATGATAATGGGCATGTATCGGAGAAAGTTTACTTTGTGTTTCTATAATTATACAGTGGTTTTACTTTATGCGAAAGGAAGGAATAAGTGACTGGTTAGTTTGTTTTTGCGATGAGGCCCTCCAAGGGATAACTGTTGTGAAGGACCACGGCGAATTTTCGGGGTCATCAAGATACGTGCTCTATTAGATTTACATAATTTATAATATTACCGGGTTCAGTAAAATGGTATGATTTGATTATATTTTTGGTTTTACATGCAAGATTTAAATTAGTACTAATATGAATACCCGGCCTCCTCTGCCCCGGCAATATATATAAAAAAAAATCAGAAAGGTTTGTCCCATGGTTGAGGGAAGGTGTTTAGCCCCGTACCATCTGTACCAGTCACATTCTGGTACTAAATTCAATATATATTTATAAATATCTACTTTATATTTATGCCTATTATCAATGTTGACATATAATTGTAAATGTATGACGGGGAAGGCTGTGATAAATTGTAAAAACTTGTGCCCCATCCCTTGTTCAATTTTATTGGCAACAAATGTGTTTAAAGCTAAATAAATTTAAATTCTGAATATTGGCAAGCGTGCAATTAACTTCTGATGATCAATAATTACTGTTCAATAAGCTTGAATACGGACTCAGAAATCGTATTACTTGGTTTCATAGTGCGGTAAGAAGTTGCAGTTGCCTGACGGCCCCTCTCTGGGGGCCCCTCTGGAAACCGTTTCATCTCGCTCAGACCACTTGTGTTTACTGCCGAGTCAGGTGACGTTATCGGCGCTATTTTTAGCAAGGCTTTCCCGAACAATTCAAGTGGTCAAACTGGACATTTGGAATGGACTATGAATATGGGAATACCGAGGTAACATAAGTGGAAGTGCATACAATATATACATTCATTAAAAAAAAATATGGCTCTTCACGGGATGTCCCTTTAAAATAATCGTGTGTTACTCCCATCTGCTGAGCAACGCTATGCCTGAAATGACGCTATATTAAATGTGCATCCAAACTTTGTATGAGCTTACATTTGTATGTACACGTTAGGCAATGTAATGTGACCGGAAACATACAATGATTATGGTAAAGGAATATTACTCAAGAATATTGGTCGAATGTAAATCGATGTAAGTTTCAATATGAGCAAACTATATATTAACCAAGGATATGCCTCGACATTTATAATGACCTTTTGATGTACAGTTATATCAAAATAAATGCAAACAATCTTAATTTGATCAGTTTTATTGTGCTAAAATTAGTAGTTAAAAAAAAAAGAAAAAAAAAGCCGTTGCTTAACAGCAGCACATGAACCATTTTCACAAAGCTATTTTGTAGTATTATTGTTTAATTATTGGATAGCAGTGCAAACAGGAACGTCTGACTTATTGTTACAGTTACAATGATATATGTCAATGAGCTTTTTTTTAAATTCAATGTACAACCATTTACAATTTATAATATTACACACAATATTCCGTCTTTGCGTATTGCAGAGCTATCTTCTCTTGTGAGCAGGTATTAATTGTCACGTCATTTGTTTGTGAGAGTAACGTCATCAATTTTTGAGAAAACGACGTAATTTTCTCACACAAACCAATGGCGTAACAATCAATACCTGCTCAAAAGAGAAGATAACTCTGCAATACGCAAAGACGGAATAGGGCACGACAAGTACTTTCATTGTTACTATAGATGTATATAATATACTCCTTGTGTATTTTTTGTGAAATGAGATTTAACACTATTAACAAATTATATTATCAATTGTACCACTATTGGTTCTCTGCTTATTAACAATAAGTAACTTTTAGTTACAATTAAGCAGCACAATCATCACAGTGTACTATCACAAGTACAAAGTAAGACCATAATGGTGATTAAAAGCTTACCTTGAGAGACATTTAAATTCATGGCTATAGTCCCTGTTGGCTATGAAAAGCCCAGAGAACGTACAGTGGCATATAATGTACATGTAGCAACTTGATGACATCAGTCAGAAGGAGTAAAACATTGTTACGGGTCAATGCTGTATAATTAGTAATGTTCTGCCTCACCCCTGTACTTCCAATTACATTGTGTATCAAACTATAATTGATACTAAAAAATAGTATATTAAATATATGTTTTACTAACTCATTTACATTACAACTAAGTTACAACTTCATGTTATTTTTTTAAAATACACCATGGTATTTCCCCATATCTGCGATAAAAGTCCATCTAAGATTGATACCAGAATCATGCCCTAAACATATATGTAACGTTTGTAATGGGCTCAAAACTTTTCCTCAAAGTAAGAAATACTGGAAACAGTTAATTCCTGTTTGGCCATTGAAGAAACTGTTGTAAATATTGCTGTTTTTGACTCGAAAGCGACATTCAAACACAGAATGTGTGGGGAACACGCCCGGCCTTGATTAATATCACAAATATTAAAAAAAGCTGACAAGTACTCCTTAAATTTCCATGTAGTCTTATTATCGTGCAAACTGTAAGAAAATGCTTTAAATTTCTATAAAAATGAGATAGACGTATCACACCTAATCATCAGCTAACAGGTCTGGGGTCACGAGTCGAACCAGCTGTGCTGAGCGAGTATCTGTTCTGAACAGTGGCACAGTAAAATAATACATGCCTTGCATGATTTTTCATCTTCTGTAAGCCTAAATTTTTTTAGCCTTGTCGTTACAAATGTAGTTGTTATTTATTCACTAGAAATACATGTCATAATTCTGGAAATCTGAAGCACCTTTTTAATAGTGTTCTCGATAAAAGTGACTACATGAAATATTTTCATTGTTTGTAATATTTAAGGCTGTGCACGTGCAAAATATTTCTATGTTCAAATGTCAATTTTCAGACAAAAGCAATATTTTCAATAAACTGTTTCAACAATGGTAATAATTTACAGCACATGGTTTTCATGCTCGTTACATAAATCTGTATTTTGAGAAATACTGATAATCTGAACGCACAGGAAATTTACAATTTTCTTTCAAACAGAGACATTTCGTTGCAAATGCATCCTTTTTATTACCATATTCAATTAGTATTTATATATGAAATATATTAGATGATGAGTAAATAATGTTAATCATACCTTGAAATGATAACCAAGAAACTGCCTTACACGTGGAGTAAGCTAATCCACACGTTCTAGAATGAACTGTACCGACAAGTCTACACACAAAGCAGACGACTGCTGAGGCGTGATCATCAGCGATACCAATGTTCAAGTTTGCTGAGCGAGACGCGGTTATATTCCACGTTTAGATACAAGGTCACATTGACCTGTCTGGCGGTTTGGTAATGATAATACATTTCAATCTTTAAAGACGTCGATTTAATCTCCCATAGCAACGATATATCTAGACACATATTAGGTGTACATGTCGTTTTAGTAGTTTGCATATAATAACGTAGGGGAGACTGTTATATTTCATCACAGCAATGGGAAAATACCCAAAAATGTTACAATGCCCACTACCCATGCGGTAGCCTCGTGTTCTAAATACCGTGGCCTTTTAGTGTGAACGGGTTCATAGAGGTCAAATTTAAACTATATGACTCACCCCAATAACTGAATGTACATGTAAGTAGCGTATATCGAACTGGTGAAATACTGTTATTTGTTTGCGAAAAGTCAAATCTGACAAGTACAATAATGTTTTTCATGTTATAGCGTACACGTATAACTGATAAGTATGTAGTGTTTAGTCAGTGTATTGCTTGGATTCATGTGTAGTTATACAATGTGTCAATAGTCACCAGTCATCGAACATAAGGTGATGAAATATATCTCAGATGGTGTATTTTACAAGGTATTAGAATACTTTCAGTTGTTCTAAATTTCTAATTACTTTCCCATTGTTTAAGTAATACNCAGCTAACCAAGATTCAATGTCACCAGCTAACCAAGATTCAATGTCACCAGCTAACCAGATGTGCATTTCAAAATCATTTTGATGTGTCATAACAATACATGTGTTTGACAAAATAATCATAATAAAATAATAGTGTAACACAATTTGACAAATGCATTAAAACAAATAACCAGAGGAAAACTATTTAGTACAAATGTCCCAGGTTTATGACAGGGATCTATGTTAACTTAATTACCCATGCTAAGGTTGAGAAGTTCTTTATGAACTATTCATTCAATCAGCATTATTAATTTAATTCTTTAAGATCTTATAAAAAAACAACATAAATGATTTAACTTAATGTTGTTTCATTAAGTTTTTAAAAAAATTACTAAACTATATTAAATTTAATTAGCTTTATATGTATCATGCACAATGTGACAACCATTTTCTTTCTGGAATGCATATTTTACACAAAAATTGCCTTTCATTAATAAATAGAAAATACAAAACAAACAGAGAGAGCTGTAAAATTTGAAAACTTGCATTCAAAAAAACAAAGAACTACATCATTAAAAAATAAACCTACTGTATACAAAATTTCGTCGTTGACGCGTCCTTTAAAAACATTTTCCAATGTCCTAAAATTCTCAATACCACCAAATATCATATCACTTTTATAATGTATTACAACGTTACTATCATCCTAGTATGATCGACCGTGTAAATGTCTCTATTATAAACCGA